TTTTCTTTTGCTCAGATTATTTTGGGACACCCCCCCCCCTTCACACTTTGGTTAGTTAAGTTTTTTTTTTGTTTTTTTTTTTTTTTTTTGCTTGTCAGATTTTTGGGGGAAGTTGGGCCCCCTCCTCACTTCTAAAACCGTTTAGATATTCAAACAGAGTTCATGAATACTTAACAGCTGGTAATTTACTAGAAGTCCATGAAGCAAAGCCATTTAAAAATATATCCAATGGAATTTGTCTTAAGATTTCTCAAAGCCTTGACTTCTGGAGTGGAAAGTAAATGTTTTTAAAGACTTTGATATACCGGTATAAATATTTTGAAATATATTAAGTGTTCTTACCCCCCACCCCACCCTCACCCCCTTAAAGGCAATGAACCTTTGTAATGTTTGTTCTTTAACAAAATGACAAAGAGACGTACATATAACGTAATGATGTACGTGCGTGGTTCTAAACTTTATAAAACCTTACCACAGCCCCCGTCTTCTGTGTTTACATTACTTTGTCCGTGTAGCTGATCATCATACAGTGAACTCTGAAATACAAAATAATTCCATGATAGAATTTAGATATTAAGATTTCGGTTTACCAAATAAATCAGTTCTGATCATGGGAAATCGCTTCCATATTACTAATTAGAAAAAGTACTGAAAAGAATTTCATTTTATACTAAGGTACTATATTAGCGGCTTTACTGTCGAGGTTTTAAGTCATACAAAGGCGAGTCTGAAGGCATTTTCTCGAGACCAACAATTCTAAATGTTCAAATACAAACTGCCATTCAAAACACTGTTAAATGATAACACAATGATTTACCCCTCTCCATAGAAAATTCACATCCATATTCAACTAGAGACTCCCTTAAAAAACATTCAAATATAGGAAAAAATGAAAGATTTTGAAATAAAAATGTAGGAGTGCGCGTGAGCCAATGAAATGAAGGTCTTTGATGCAGGACGCGCGTTCGCCACCATCTGTCGCGTGCGGCGCTTGAAGTATTTGGTTAAACAAAAGCTGGGCCTTCACGGGTGATGAGAGCACATATGGTGAATTTTAAGTTCTATAACACACCATATCTTTTGATTTTATTTATGTTTTAAATTTTTTCATGTCTAATATTTTTTATTTTAAACAAATATTGAAGATTTTGTTATTTTCTTCAAATTAATTTAATTAAATGAAAGCCATACCTTTCACCGCTTAAAATTGAGAATTTCATATTAAATCTTTTACCGATTATTTGAAGTGTAGGTCACATGTATGGAATTTTAAATAAAAATCTATCAATTTGTTAAGATCCTTGGAAATTGTTTTTATCAGTCATTATTTTGGCGACTTTAAAAGCATCTATATATGTAGTTCTTTATTGTGACAATTGAAACATCATTACAGAGAACAAGTACATCTTTAACAGATGCATCAGTACTTAAAAACAATTGTAAAACCAAGAACCGACAAAGGGAGTGGATGTTTTAAGAATTTGACAAAAAAGTTGAATGTTTCACGTAAAATAAATCAATGAAGCAATTTAAGCAAGTATTATACTTACCTGCTTGAATAAAGTCATTCTTTGATGAATGTGCTGACTCAGTTTTTCACAGGAAAATGAGAGAATTAAAAAACGAAAAACATTAAAACCTCCGTATTTTGAGAAATCAGCAGACAAGAGGAGCAGGTGATTGGGGAACGTAATGCCGGACCGGCATTACAACACGGTAATCTAGATCACCTGTACATGCAGCCCCAGAGAGCACCTGCTGGTGTCCTCACATCAAAGAGGCGCGCGTGCAGCTGTCCTCGTGTCAACCAATCACACGCCGCTACCGGAGAAACGCTAGTTTGTGTGTAAATACATCACGGTAAATAGAAATTAAAATTCATAATAATGAAGAAATGTGCAAAGTGTGAAATACTAAACCTGTGTTGTCAATCTCTCTTAAGTAATCTCTGCATAGTAGGCGCAGAAAATCTATAAGTTGGAGTTTATATTTTTGAAACTTTTTTGTTGCTATATGTATAATCAGTGGATTTAATGATTAAAGTTCAACCGCTATAAACGAATGTCAGAAGTTCATGATAAATATACATTTTTGTTAAATAATTTTGACACACAACACAGAATTCATAACCCAACCCCTTTTCCTCTCTCCGTAATTTTCAATTTATTACAACAGAACGGGCACATGTTTGTCTTTAACATTTATTCCCAGAAGGTTTGTTGACATAAATATTTAATAATTCAGTATATGAATGGATCTTTAAGTATTTGGAGATGTTTAGAAATTTAATCGGGTGTCGTCTGACAAAATCTCGGTTGACTGTTGAGCGAATGCTTAGGGTTTCCTAGGTAATAATTAAAGAACGTGACTGCCTCGTGACAGCCGACCGCTAGGCATACGGCGCACGTGTCCGGCACAAGCTAATACGGACATTCCGACAGTAAGCGCACGTGTCCGGCACAACCTAATACACGTCCTGGACATTCCAACAGTAATGTCATATTGTAATTTTTGAATTTACCGGGTGGTAGTAAATACAAAAATTGCAATATGACAACTTGTCATATTGTAATTTTTGTATTTACTACCACCCGGTAAATTCAAAAATTACAATATGACAGTAAGTACACGTGTCCGGCACAACCTAATACACGTCCAGGACATTCCGACAGGAAGCACACGTGTCCGGCACGAACTAATACACGTCCTGGACATTCCAATAGTAAGTACACGTGTCCGGCGCAAACCAATACACGTCCAGGACATTCCGACATTAAGTATACGTGTCCGGCACAAACCAATACACGTCCTGGACATTCCGACAGTAAGTACACGTGTCCGACACAAACACGTCCAGGCCATTCCGACATATTTCAAACGTAAGATGAAAGTTCGATAACTGGAATAATGCTGATAAAAGGTTGAGATACTTGTCCTGAAGTATTTTCTGGACAGTTTTATTGAAAACTTGAATGGAATAAACAGAACAATTAAATCAAACTTTCTTAAAACACCAAAGCAAAAAGAATGACAGAAGAACAGGAATTATATATGTTCTTTGATGTTGTAATGTATTACCCTGACCTGTGTTAGATTGACTTGAATATTGTAATGTATTACCCTGAACTGTGTTAGATTGGCTTGAATATTGTAATGTATTATCTTGACCTGTGTTAGATTGACTTGAATATTGTAATGTATTACCTTGACCTGTGTAAGATTGACTTGAATATTGTAATGTATTACCCTGACGTGTGTTAGATTGACTTAAATATTGTAATGCATTACCTTGACGTGTGTTAGATTGAGTTAGATATTGTATTACCTAATTGAAGAATATGCATTAGATTGAATTAGATATTGTATTACCCATTAAAGATGTCTGTTAGATTGATTTAAATGTTGTATTACCCATGCATTTAAAGAACATCAATTAGATTAGCTTTAATATTGTTCTACCCAATGAAAGAACGTGTGTTAGGTAGACTTAAAGTGACAGTACGGCGCATCTCATCAAAAAACTGACTTCATAAAATTTTCCTACAAGATTTGAAATTTTTTTACTACTCATAAATGTATAAACTTTCAGAAAATTACATTTTTCACAATTAAATAATTTTGGTTAATTCATTAGAATTAATAGTTATTTATGGGACATAAATATTTACATCGCAACGTGTTCGGGGTTCCACATTCCATGCTATGCACGCATGCGTAGTTTTCATAAACAAAACAGCATGGTTAGAGAGGGAATCCCGGTAGGCCTGCTACATTGACAAAGTCGACCAAAAAGAAAAAGAAACTGAAAATAGAACTGAAAAAGCAACTTTCCTGACTAAAATTAAGTTTGGGGATTGATATAATCGTTGGATAAGGAAGTCGGCGACTCTCACGCAGGGCTCGCGAAGGTTCTACTCGACAGGTTTGTTGATACTTGTTATCATTTCTAATTTTTCCATCGCTTTCAAAGAAAAATAAATTAGTGTAAACTCAACATAATAATACACCTATGACTTATAAACATCGTTGCCATTTGAAGTGCTAATTTTATTAACTGTGCAGAAAAATATTTTGTTTGACATTTGCCGCGATAACGTATGATTCGGTGGTTTTTCCTTTCTCGGACCCCAATACACAAAACGTCAACATTTGTACTTTTAATTCTGTTAAATTCGCCTGAAAGCAGACTAAAATCTTTACGATTATTATTTTAGATTATTTTATCAGAAAGTTATGATAATTTGCTTTTGAAAATTGCTTTTACCTCATATTCATTATAATTGTAAACTCTACAGTGTAGGCACGTGCCGTTTTAGAATTCACGTGGTACAAATAAACAGATCTAAGATTGCTCCAGTTCGTACGACCCTTGATTTTCCGGCAGATTCTAATTACGTTAATTTTGTATGAGGAAAGAATATTTCTGTTTCTCATACTGCTTACATCAACTTTATACCTTATTTCTTAATGATATATTGGATAAATTTGAATGAAAAAGCACACGTTTTGCAGCCGTACTGTCGCTTTAAATTTTATATTACCTATTTAAAGAACGTGTGTTAGATTAACTTTAATATAATTCTACCCATTGAAAGAACGTCTGTTAGATAGATTTAGATATTACCCGTTTAAAGAACGTCAATTAGATTGACTTTATTTACAAGAGGATAATAAAGACAAGAATCGCTCTTTTGTACCTTTACATTGCATAAGCGATAGGTTGTATTGAATTGGAACAAAAAACTTTTCAGATGCCTAAGCTACAGTCTTTCAATAAAATAGAATCACACACATATTGTTTGATTCAAAGTAAAAAAAAAAAACAAACAAACACAATGTAGTAAAAAAAAATGTGTTTAATACATGTGATTAAAGTACAGATTTAAACAAAAAGCTCTGATATTAGATGAATACGCCTTAACTGATAACTTAGATTCCACTTGGAATCATGTAGATAACATGATTGTGAGAGACCAATGGGATCCCTTAGTACTACTAACTCATGTATCGGAGCTCTCCATTGGAGCAGAGGGATGGACGGTATATGGATGTGTAAAGGCAAAATCAGCAGAGGATTGCATCACACAAGATGGATATGTAACACCCTGTTCTCTGATAGTGTGTATAGGAAGTCCATAAGGAATAGTAAAAGACGGAATTGTTCTGGTGATCGATCCAGGGTCCGGATGTCGAGATCCAGTAGAGGGACCGATTCTCTTGTTCGTCTTCCTAGAATAATAATAATTTGAATGGCAATCTACCTGTGAGAATGAATTCTTCTATAGGGAGAGGTAAAGGACACAGTTACAGATTTCTCGTTTTCTGGAAGAGATCGATTATTTGGGCATTAGGGGCATGACCTGAAAATCAATATATTATTAAAATCAAGTGTCTACTTTTACACACCATACAATGCATATCATAATCCCTGTCTCTCTGTATGCCCAAGACTAATTAATAATTCTGGATAATTAAAGTTCATTGAGAACTTTATACTCTGAAGGGTCTAGTAAGTAGTATTACTATGTATTAATGCTCAATCATGGGCTTCTCAAACGTACGAACTTCATTTTTTTATGAAATGGGTCACTTTTTTTTTTTTTTGAAATGTGTTATTGATTTATGATCTGACTGATTACAAGTAGCTTAGTAACTATAAAGTACATACATTTTTTTGAAACGTAGGAAAACACACACGGCTATGGCTATTGTTACAACAACAAGAATTCCACACGAACACAACACGATCGTCTGCCATCCCTCCCAGTTATTTTTCTCTATGAAGTAATTAAAGAATTGTAAAAATGCTAGGTGGAATTATCTGTAAAAATCGTTATATACTGAAGTGTCTTGGACGTTCAAATATTCAAATACATCAAGATAGAGCTATTACTCACTATGGTTTTGTTAAGACAAACTGCAGTAAAATATGATTTACTGTGTATTAAGTGCATTGTTATCGTATATATTTATTACTGGCATGTTTTTCCATTATTGCACCTTGTTGTAAACGTAAATTTTCATTTCTACAGAGTATTTTTACATTACTGTACCATGCTGACAGTTGTCACCATAGTAACCTTCTTGACAGACACATGTGGGCGTTCCCGCCACATCGGAGCACCTCCCCTCGTTCTGACATACTCCTCCACAGTTTGCTAAAAAGGAATTGAATATGTAATGTGAAAAAAGATTTTGATTATTGCTCAACACATTAGGCCAACTTTAAAATAATGTTTGCTTGCCCTCTCCCGACCAGGATGAAAAAAATGGGTCGGTAGGTAGGTGGAATTTTTTTCCTAGAAAATTTCACCATCAATGCTGAATTTTCAAAATATATTTTCCTGAATGCATAGAAAAATTGCTTCCTGGAGGTTAAAAAAAGTTTTGAGTCGGGCCATTTTTAGACAGTCGGTCGGGAGAGGGCAACCAAACAATTTTTAAACATAGGCTTAGAAAATGCAGATTCACGTAGTTTTTAGTCATCACAAACACCTCTTAGTCTGACATAATGATAGGGCTCTAAAATGTGTTTTTAATATGATTTGTTATTAACTTTTTTCAGCGTATCCATATTTCTATTCCTACCGATGGCGCAGGCGCCAGTTCCATCATCGCTCCATCCGGGGCAGCATGTCTCGACCACGTGATACTTAATGGCGTACCTTTCTCGTGGAGTATAACAGGTCTGTACTCTGGAAATGGCATCGAATCATAAATTAAAATAGTTTCTAGCATCTTTTTTGTGTTGGTGTTTTTCTGTATATAAAGTTTTGTATGATCATTTGAATTATTTCCTTATTTCTCTCGAGTACGTATTGCTGATTTTATTTAAGATTTTTGACTTAAGGAAACCCTTGTTTACTTTTATTCTTAATTATTTTGCCTTGGATATCATGCAGAGAATCAAAGGTAAAAATTTTCAAATGCAGAAAAGTAAAGGAGACTTATTAATGCTACCATGAATTCAGTTGTGCATTATTGATCACGTTTTTATAATTTGTAACTTTGATTTGCTGTAGTATCCTTTCCGTTATCGTCTTCAAAGCACCTCTCTATTATTTTTTACCGGTACCTGTATACGCCATTTCTAACGTTACTTAACAAAGTATAAAACCTACCTTTTATAACCCCTTTTCTTACCTATAGCGCGTGCACCGTCTCCAGTCCAGGTGTCCACAACTCGTGGTGTACCTCTCCTGACACAGAAAAGCCTGGTTGTATGACGTCATATAGGTCTCCGCTCTCTCACGTTTACACACGTGTCTGAAAAAAATCTATCCTTCGAATCACCGAAGCCCAATTTCATTACATTATTTCCAGCTCTATGCATAAAACAACACAAGTGGCAGAGTAAAAAAAATCTTTGACAGATAAGATTTGGAATGTACACTCATTTACTTGCATGTGCCATTTTCATATAAGGATTAAAGAAGCACCAACTCCTTCATATGATATATCCAAAGTAACATATATAAATCATACATGGAATAAAGTAAACAATGTCCCAATATCCTACTAACCCAGAAAGACTACGAATTTCTTGAATCCTGGCGAGGATAAGCCATAGAAAATAGATGAACATGTCTTCTGTGTTTGATATTTATACATAATACTTCACTGACGGGAAAAAGAAATTAACAACAAAATTCAAAATAACCGTTATCAACCCAAACAAAGACCTGAAGACACCAAAGCACCGCGGGACGAGGTCAGCTGGTCAGGTTAACAGGTGCTTTCTGTACAAATCCAGAAGAACTTCTTTCTCGGGAAAAAGAGAATTTCAGAGTGTTCCAAATTTCTCATAGTAAAGAAGGATATACACATGTGTATGTTTTAGTGTGTGAGTTCACTATTGTATAAAAGGAGATATGTTTTAGTGTGTGAGTTCACTTTTGTATATGTAGGGAGATGTGTTTTAGTATGAGAGTTCGCTACTGTATATAGGAAGATATTTAATTCACTGTGATTTAGAGGGAGATGTGTTTTAGAATATTAGTTCACTGTTACATGTATATGGAAGGAGATGTGTTTTTTTGTGTGAGTTAACTGTTATATAAAGGGAGATTTGTTTTGGTTTGGTGAATTCACTATTGTTTACAAGGACTCGTAAATAAATATCTTGTCATTGGTCATCTGCAACATTATTTTGTTTAGAATTGTTGTGATTGTACATAAGTACTCCGAAGTTGATATTAAATAGAATGATGCTCGATTTTCTTATTGACAAGATCTTTGTTATTTTTGGAAATCAACTCTTCCAACAATCAGTAGGAATTTCAAAGGGTACTTTTTGCGCCCCGTTTTTAGCAGACATTTTTGTATTCATAAAATAGAAAGATAACGAGCGGTTGGAATAATACAAATTTGAAACAGAGCAAACACAGACCTCTAAAAACATCAGAGGTGGGGTCAGGTGCCATTGCGTAGTAAGCATCCCCTGTCGACCGGTTACACCCGCTGTAACGGTCATCAAAATAATTTTCGGTCATTTGATGTTTACTACGGAAGCCGGTAGGTGCCAGGTAGAAAAATATTTTATCTGGCGGCCGCCACATAAATAATTGGCGGCCGCCAGAAACCTATGTGGCGGCCACCAGAAACTTATCTGGCGGCCGCCAGAAAGTTATCTGGCAGCCGCCAGATAAATATTTGGCGGCCGCCAGATAACTTGTTTGGCGCCCGCCAGAAAGTTATCTGGCTGCCGCCACATAATTTCTGGCGGCCGCCAAATAACTTTCTGGCGGCCGCCAGATAAGTTTCTGGCGGCCGCCAGTTATTTATGTGGCGGCCGCCAGATAAAATATTTTTTCTACCTGGCACCAACCGGCTTCCGTAGTTTACCGCATATACCAGCACATTAACAGTATTTATGGTATTCCTTCTTTTTTCTTATAAGAATGTTTGTAGTTTACATAGATTAGCACAGGTGTATTAAATTGTTTTGGAATACAATAAAATTAATTTGAACTAATCTATACATGGGAAAAATATTTTTTAAAGTAAATCAAGTTAAAAACTTTTAAATTGCTGCACGTACAAAGATTTTATGATTTAAAAAAGTGTTGAACATCTTTGAAATGTCAAGTAATTATACTGTATTACGCTTTTCAATCTTTCTAAAATATGAGTACACATGTCAGTGAAATTTTGCTTTCATTCGATTGAAAATTTATAAGCTTCCTTTTTGAACTCCCATTTCATTTATTTGTTTACATGAATTCTCTTTCCATTTCATTTTCACTACTCAAGCTCAAAAGTCCATTATACAATACAAAATAGGAGCAGAGCAAACACGGACCTCTCAAACATCAGAGGTGGGATCAGGTGCCATGGAGGAGTGAGCATAAAACAAATGAAATGGGAAAACGCTTTAAATAAAAATTAATTCTGACATATGTCCGGGTTTGTTGTTGTTGGTTTTTTTTTTTTTTTTTTTTTTTTTTTTTTTTTTTGATAACGTGTATTAAAATGAAAATTCCATGCGAAAATGTAGCGATCTAACTTTTTGACAGTATGTTATATTGGCGATATCATCTTGGGTTGCTCAGAAGAATGTAAACCAACACATGTTATTTATATATACATCGCCTTTATTTATTAGCTCACCTGAGCCGAAGGCTCAAGTGAGCTTTTCTGATCACATTTTGTCCGTCGTCCGTCTGTCCGTCTGTCTGTCTGTCTGTCTGTCCGTTTGTAAACTTTTCACATTTTCGACTTCTTCTCCAGAACCACTGGGCCAATTTTAACCAAATTTGCCACAAAGCATCCTTGGGTAAAGGGGATTCAAGTTTGTTCAAATGAAGGGCCACACTTTCTTTCAAGGGGAGATAATTAAGAATTAAGAAAATTTGGTGTTATCTTTTAAAAATCTTCTTCTCAAGAACAACTGGGCTGTAAAAGTTGAAACTTACGTGAGACCTTTATTACATAGTGTAGATTCAATTTTGTTCAAATCATGACCCCCAAGGGTAGGGTGGGGCCACAATGGGGGATCAAAGTTTTACGAAGGAAAATATATACTGAAACGCAAAAGAAACGCAACATCCTATTTTAGGGGGAAATATTACATATAAGATATAATTTTGTTCCTAAAAAGTAAGGACATCTTCAACTTTGTAAATATTGATAATTTAACGGTTGAATGTTTTTCATATCCTTGCCGGAAGTTAAGTTTGAGTCTACTTAACAGAAATCAAAAATTGTATGTTTAACAAACATTTGGCAATAATATGGGGTTTTAAGGATTTGTATCTGTTCATCATAAGTAATGCAGCAATGTTCCGAAAAATAAATTCCCCTTTCTTTTCCGTAAGCGATGCCAAGGCTTCCTGAAAATGACGTAAGTATGCATTTCCATTGCTCTAGCTGGAAAATCCCAAAATAATGGTGATGGAGAGTTGCAGATGCAAACATGACCCACATCACGCCTCAACAGTCTCTAACGTATCATTAGAATGAATGACTCTCCTTGGACCGGAAGCTCAAGGGTTACTACACTGCGCTTGGCTAGAGAAAATTCGACCTTATCATCTGAAAAACAGGCATTTAAAAATGGGAAAAAATATTTCTTTCGCTTAGATCTCGAGATTGATGAACCTATTGCATCGTAAATATCAAGCTGCAACTGTTGTGCATTACAGTCTTGCAAAATTAACAATTGGTCAACAGTTATGACGTCATGGGTTTGGTTTTTAACCCCCTTGACGAATACTTACTTATTTATAAAATCAAAAAAAAAAATATTTTATTTTATGTTTTGCATGTTTTCACAATAAGAATGTGATGTAACAAAATAATTTTTCAAATGACCAATGACAAGGTAAGTAAATTTACGAGGTCCATTTTTATTGAAAAAGCAGTTCCAAATGTGATGAAAATATTTAAAGAAAATGTCTCCATTTCATCTTCGAATGTGAATTATCAGTTTCTTGACCAAAGGAAGTTTCAGAAAGCCTTATTAATAGCCATGTATTGTATTCTAACAAAACCATATCTTGAAAATTGAAAAAGGGAAAACATGGAGCATTAGAGTTTGGATCAGGTGCCTTGAAGGAGTAAGCATCCCCTGTCGACCGGTCGCAACCACGGTGAACACTCAGGTAAATGAAATAGTTGGTACTCGAACTAAGTATACAAATGCTGTCTTAACAACTGTTATAGAATGTGTCAATCTCAATATGGCCAAACACTTTTGTATTTGCGAACAAGGTCAGTACATGTATAACATTCCTAGAATTTGATAAATGCTTACTTTAAAAAAGACTGCTCACTTATTTGATTTGAACATATTTTATTATGTAACAAAACATAAATGGATTGGGCAACAGGCATTGCCTGTATAAGCCCTCTCCACAATGGAATCCTCATTGATATATGTTATGTATGTATTTAAAGAACGTGTTCAATATTCTAGAAATGTACATATCAATTGATATATCATATTTTTTCTACAGTTTATTTCAACATAAATCTGTTAGCAGTATTTACCATATTATAATCCCAAAATCAAATAAGAACCAGTGAACTTTTGGGTTAAAACGAATAAGATTTGTCTGAAAACGACTAGAAGAAGAAAAGGTGTACTTCAGAGAAACATTAATTTTTATGTCTAAAATAATTCACACAAAATCGTTTCCTTTTCATCTCAATCATAATATGCAATAATGCAATCATATGAAACCGTTCAACTAGAAATATTTATTAGAATATCGAACCTCCATCAATGGAATAACTAACAATGACATCTTGACCTGATTGACTTCTTTGCATTATATTAATATTTGATTGTGTTTTTTTAACTTTGTCAATACGGACATTGAACATTCATTCCCTTTGTAGAAGGTCTTTCCTGGCGGAGCGCAAATAAACTTTTCGACTCCAAAAAACTGGGCGAACGGCCCCGTCTCTCTCTCTCTCTCTCTCTCTCTCTCTCTCTCTCTCTCTCTCTGCCATTAAGTAACTTAATGTTCTGTAGGTTTTCAAATTACATTTCAATAATTGTCTAACATGATACATCAGATGCACTCTGCCTTTGGAATTAGATAATGAATGGAGGACAATTAATCCAAAGATTGACTAAAAGCTTTCTAGATTCGTTAGAGGTTGTGTAAATATTAATGAATGATATACATGGTAAATGGATGCATATATCATTGATTGGCTCTGCAGCAGCATTGTCAAATCAGACCGAATCTTTATCATAGATCTTTATAGAATTTCAATACGAGCATCAATTGCAATAAGAATTTACGATAGCCAAAAGTTTTAATGTTAAATCATCTGTTTCATTGACATTCCACGGTTTTTGCACAACAGAAAATAACCATTAACAAATTGTTCACATCATTCTTAATTTTAAACGAAGTAAGTGATGGATTGTAAAAGGAGATTCAAAATCAAACTGTTTTTCTTCTTTTTTCTGTTTTCATTGTACAGTTCGTGTTATTGGGAGTCCTTTAACAATCTTTCCGGGAAAGTTGTCATGAATGCTTCGTATTTCAGTTTTTCCACAAGCAGTTTGCTCTGTTGTGCCAGGCGATGCAAGTCTCAAAGAAAATGTCTATCCATCAATTATGACACTATAGAGAGAGATTGCATTCTTAACTTCAAAAGTCATGTGTCTTCTAATACTCAGCTGGATACAAGCAGTCATATACGATCTTACGACATTAGCATTTGGAGTGATGTATTTTAATTCAATATATTTTTGCGATTTATTATCAAATTATCTGAAAAGGATGAAGTTTGATGTTAGTAAAATGTTATACAACATATGACTGAGTTACTTTTGTTTCTTTCAGGAGGTTTTATTTATGGGAGGATGTAGTAACCACAGCTGTAGGTATGATCTGATCTGTAACGAAGGAGGAAGCGACCAGAAAATGCCCTATACGTGTGTACAGGACACACAATGTCAGTGGAATGATGGTTGTACAGCCTGCCTCCAGGGTAAGATAAGATTTAAAAATATTCACAAAAGTATATTTCTTATAAAATTCCTTGTATCGACTCTCTGACAGATACGCCATTTTTTTTTTTTTTTTAGCAAATAAGGTATTTCTACCTATGTCACAGGTTTTTGCAAGATCTGTTGTTAATTTAATTTCATGCACAATAGAAATATATCTTTTATTGGACGAATGATTTTAAAAAGGTGTAATAAAAAGTATTGTTTAGTAAAAGAATTAAAAATGTGCGGTAAACATTTTGTTTTGTTAATCAATTATTTTATGTTTTAAAAAATTGTGCCAAGGCCTCGTGTAATACCTAAACGGTTGCTATCAGAAAAAAATGCGCCTACATTACTGCTATCCGAAAGTTGTGCGGTTGCAACTGGAAAAAAATGGACGAAATGGTAAGCACTTTTCTTCGCTGGCTCAACAAAATGGTCAATAATTCAATTATTAAAGTTTTACTGCTAAGTATTTTACCCTTACGAAACGTAGCATACCTTTTAAAACTAACATTATTTATCTCTCAATTTTTAATGAATTAAAGGATTGCTAATGTATAAGACGAAAACTGTCGAAAGCTTCGGACACGCTTACATGCACATAAAAAATATATTACAATTGCGTCAAACTCTTTATATATTTGATAAAAATGAATCGACAGTGCGATGTTTATCTGTAAATAATAATGGTTATTTCATAGCATTCCTCGTTTTGATGTGTTTCTTAAAATCTAGAGCGCCTTTATTTGGAGAAATTTATGTTACGGCTACTAGTAGACAACAACACTGGTTACTATTGGAAATGGCTTAAATTTTCAAATTTCATTAAATCACATCCTCAATTTACATCTATTATGCAATTCTGGTTAAGAAAAATATTTATGAAATGTTCCTTCCATATTCTTTTTTTAATAATTACTTTCGATCCTATACTGACAACTAGTTATTCCTACATGTATTTCTATATGTATGATATAAATAGTGGAGTTTGTATGTGCCCTGTACATTTACTAAGTAACTTGCACACATGCAATAAAACTGTAAGCCATTAAAGTATGTGACCTACCACTGAATTTATTAGATTTCACCTATGTTACTATGCCAGAATGATAAATGTACGATTTTCCATGCATGTTTTGTGGTTGGGTAGCATTTTTTTAGCTGACGAGTAGTGAGTTTTTATCCCCCAGCCTTGGCGAGGGAATAAAAACTCACAATGAGTTAGATAAAAAATCATATCCAACAACAAATTATGGGAGATTCTTTTTCTCAAATGTTTACGGAGCTCACCTTGACAAATACTAACATAACCTAAAAGGGGTTAGGTCAAAGTATCAATGTCAAAGTGATAAAAAATATGAATTGAAATAGTTGGTCGGAACGGAATAAATCCACTTGAGATTTTGCTGTCCGACGTCGATAATGACACCAATAAAGTACATATTGTACATAGGAGCTTACGTTATTGTCCACATTATAGTGTACATCGGACATTCATATACTATACATCCGGTAAAGCTCGTAAAACGAAAAGGGGGGTCTGCCCCCCCCCCCCCCCTTCCTCTTTTTTCTGATAAGAGACTTTTGCTGTTCATTTTGATTGATTTTTTAAAAACACATTTTTGATGCACAGAATTGTCAAACACTCCCAATGTCCAAAAATTATAAATATATTGAAAATGAGAACGAAAGTGAAATTTCTCATAATTATCCCCCGTTTCTGCTTCGAAAAAGATTATACCAGGTATGTCTGTTAACAGTATTGTAATGGTCTTTCCTTTAAATGCACATGTATATTACTTACATATTACATACATATAGAATATTAGGCAGCTATTTTCATGTTCGGATGTAGAATTTTTTTCAAAGGTGGAGTGGTTCCAGGCCTACTTCAAAAAACAACAACAGCAAAAAAAAAAAAAAAAGAAATTTTGAGATATATATTATGTCAATTTACAAGAAATTTGACAGCGAAAAAAGGGGGTGGTGGGGTGGTGGTGGAGACTTTTCTATCTAAAAAAAAAACTGCTTTCGGGGAATGGGGGAGGGCACTTGTCTTTTCTTACCTATATAAATTTAAGAACTCCGAAATTCCTTATCGGGGGGCGGGGGATGTCAGACACCCTCTCCATTCAAGATCCGATGTTTTGAATGTATGTTCTATAGTTAGAGCAAACCAATGCACCAACGTGCTTCGAGAAAGAAATGTAAAAATATTAGTCAAAGGTTATTCTTCAACTTCTCTAGATATTATATTTATATAGACTACAAAAATCCCCAATGACTCTAGCTTTGGAAATCCCCAAAGACTCTAGCTTTTGAAAGGTTTTAAAATATTGATGGTAAAAATATTTTTTGTGTTATTTAAAATTAATTTACGAGTTCTTTCGTAAAGCGTTCTTTTTGATTTTGTGTAGGAGTGCCTTTCGAATATCTCCTCTACTTGACAGAATACGAAACATCGAGATAAGTTGGTAAATGTCAATTATTATATTTCAATGCTATTTGGGATATCTAAAATGTATATTTTAGGCCTTTGCTGCCATAATTTTGTTTAATTTCTCTGTCTTCATTGATGGAAAAAAATTAAATTTCAAATAGTAGCTGATGCGTTATTTTCAGTTTATAACCGGTACAATACATGTCAAGACTGATAGCAACCGTAACTTAAGATGATCGTGTTTTGTCCAAAAATATCTTTCAAAATACACTTTTTGAAGATTTTTAATCATTTCTACGAATTATTATAGATTGACACATCTTCACATACCAAAATAAAAACAATCTAACCTATGAATGATAAAAAGAAGCATGAAAACTGGGAGTATATTGACTTGAGATTTTGTACAGGTTTTGGAAATTTTACTATATCTGAATTATTAGAGGATTATTCTGCAAAATACATATGGCATCAATTATAGAAATTCCTTACTTGTTCCGTGCACATAGACTTTTCAGAGACTTAATTGATTCGGGGTCATGTTTTTACGGTTTCACAACTTGTTCCAAGAGTCTCCAACATATTTATTTTAGCTAACAGCCGTACAATTTTCGAATGGAAACATTGAACGCGATTTTGTTCCGATAGCAAACGTTTTGGTACAACACCTTGTAAGGGCAAACATGCATCATGCATCTTCATTCATTTTCAGTGTACTTCCAATGTTAAATGATTTCCCTGATATTCACAATTCAAACACATTTATAAAGTAACATTTATTTTGGAATTTTCAGTGTCACCATTATGTATAATTTGAACCAATTTTAACATGCATTTAATAATTCTGTTTACCCAAAATGATATTTTTATGCAAAAATATATATCTATTTATTTATTATGTTTGACATATTAAAACCTATGGCAACCTATACATTTTTGCGATTTTAAATAATTAATTTAACCTATGTTCAGCATAAATAAAATTATCTACTTTGAACCCATAAAATTGTTTGTGGAAGTACCTAAAACTATATATTTTCTATACTTTACAAAAGAACGCTGTTTTTTTTCCCCAAAAGTACTAGTAATCTGTAATTTTATTTTTTTTTTTTAATCAAAAAGTTCCTTTTGTTTAGAGATTTATATTTTCAGTTTTAAGTCGTGTTCTGTCTTTTCATTGACTAGATTTTAGCTACATGTATGTGGGAAAATATGATAAAGAACCAGCTTTAACTTGGTATAAAACAGTGAATATCTTTAACAGGCAGTGGACAAACGATTCAAGCAAATACGCCTAACTATGTTGCAGTAGGCTGCTACCATGCGCCAAACACTAACACTGGATTTAACAACTATGTTAACCTCAGATCACAGATTAACTGGCATGACATCGGGGCTACAATCAGAGCGTGTGCTTTAGAGGCTAAAAACAGAATGCTATTATATTTTGGCATTGAGTTCTATGGGGAGTGTTATATGAGAAATGATACACTTGAGGCATCATACAGACTAGTTTCTGCGAGCAAGTGTACAGAGAGGTGTGTATTGGGAGTTGGTGCTCAACATACTCTTTTCGTTTATCAGTTACAGTAATGCTCTATTGAAGCTATATCTATTTAAGTACTTATTGCCTATCGTTAATAGCATATCTATTTTTGTATTCATGTGAATCATATACGGTACCAATTTTGATTCGCATTTTGACAAATTATGTCTCTTCAGTGACGCTCATACCAAAACGTTGGAAATACGAAATATTTAAATTAAAACAACTTTGAAGAGCTGAAAAAGGGGTGACAAAGACTGGAGCCAAATAAGTCGAAGGATCAGAGCTATGAATGAGGGATATAATCCATAATTGTTAAAAAAATGTCTATAAATTTTACCACAGCTGTTAAATATATATCCGTATTTTGAAGCTAGTACCCAAGTACTAGCTACTGCGCTGTAGAGACCCTCGAAGACTTACAGTCCACCAGCAGAGGCATATGAAGCAAGATTTTTTTTTTCGTAAACTTCTACATGAGAAGAAGCGGGCACCTGATGTGGCCTACAAATCGACATTTAGATATATCTACGACGTATTTTCAATTAACAATAGGTTTTTTTATTCATATGTCGACTGGACTAGAAATGAAAGATAAAAGAGCATTTCACAGTCATCAGCTTCTTGTGAGGGTATTTTACTAGTAAAACATGTAAATGTTAACATAAGAAAACTTTATGATAAACGTGATAACTTCAACTTCTTTTTCATGTATCAAAACGTACACTATATGAAAGATTTAATGTTTCATTAACGTATAAAAAGAGATTACTATATTAAACTTAAAAATACTTGTATTTGTTTTCACATGAGGACAATAACTCCTTAATATATTTTGGTAATATTTAGGTTAATACTTTGTTTCATGAAATATGGTGGAATTCGGAGATAACGAACTGTAGCGAATCTCATGTAAATGGAAGACAATGTAACTTATTTTTTACCTTTATAAAAATAAAGGTATACATGGAATTAATTGTACTCAGAGTCTGACACATCTGTTTCATATCTGGATATTTTACTAGAAAAAGACGAATGGTAACCTAACAACAAAGCTTAATGATAAATGTGATGACTTCAATTTTTCGTCAACTTCCATTATTTATGTAGCAAACTACTCTTATCACCTGCTTATAGAGTTAAGGTCTCTAAGTTGATTCAATAGGGAAGAGCATGCTCTACGTACAATATGAATATTATTTCTTTCTCTAGTCAAAATTCCAAATATGAAACAAATATGTCAGGCTCTGTGGTGTCTTTTATTTCAAGTTAAATAGGATATATCGAATAAAACTAAATATGGTTGATTTATAAACGTAGAATAACTAAATGTCAAACTGACAGCCATACCAAGAGACTTCTTTCCTTCATTTTTTTAAAAGAATGGATTTGGGACACAATAACTATGTGTGGCATTCCAAACAGACTGTTGGAAGACATGCATCTTCCCTGCATAAAAAAGGGAAAAAAGACAAGAAAGATATTTTCAATGAGAAACTCAAGCATCATCAATATCAACCTGTGTGTCGAATAATTCAACTTCTGAAAAGAGACGAACTATTGACAAACAAGTCGATGAAACAAAAATATAAACAATCTCATTCAAAGTCAACATCTTGCAAATAATAAAGTTGATAAAATGACCTGGCCAGCAACTACAATTTATGATTAAGAAGAATGCAGACTGACGTTTTTCTTACAAATTGTTAGGTCATTATTTACATACTGAATTTTCTACGGAGTTTTCCGTTTGCCTGACAAGTACAAGGGACAGACAGCAGGTGTGACCGGTCGGCAGGGGATGCTCACTCCTCCATGGCACTTGATCCCAGCGCTGATGTTTTAGAGATGTGTGTTTGCTCTTCTCCAAATCCTTATTGTTTCAATGGACTATTGAGCTTGATTTCTATTCGTTGTCTTCTTATTTCATAAGGTTAATAAAATTTTATAACATATGTGTACATGAAGTTTATGAATATGAAAACTTAGGTGTACATAAAGATATTTATAGGAATTTTCTGTCCGAATATATAATAGTTATATCTTCTAAGAAAATTAATGATAGACATTTATGTCAATGAAAAATTTCTATTTGTTTTGTAATGCTTATATTGCTTGCAAATGTTATAATAGAAAAACGATAAAATCTGTCTCCATTATTTCTTTAATCAAATTCACCCGTTAAATCAATTCAACATCAGCAGCTTGCGGATAGAGCCGCCTAAAGACTATAATGCTGTCAAAATAAAAATCCTATGAAACGTTAGAACAATCTTTAAGTTAATGAAAAACTTTTTAGCCGACGGTCAGCTGCCTAAAGACTGTTAAAGCAGTCACAGTTGGTTTTCCTAGAAAGTGTTAAAATTCTAAGAAAGTTGAAGCAATCAGTGTCGTGTAAAAAACGCATCGAACCGCAGCTGCCTTGGTATCGTTAAAGCAGGCAGTTTTATTTTCCTGTGGACTGCCCAAGCAGGAAAAGTCCGCTAACTAAGGTCTTTTAAAACAGGAAAAGTCCGCTAACTAAGGTCTTCTAAAACAGGAAAAGTCCGTTAACTAAGATCTTTTAAAGCAGGAAAAGTCCGCTAACTAAGGTCTTTTAAAACAGGAAAAATCCGTTAACTAAGATCTTTTAAAGCAGGAAAAGTCCGCTAACTAAGGTCTTTAAAAGCAGGAAAAGTCCGCTAAATAAGGTCTTTTAAAACAGGAAAAGTCCGCTAAGTCTTTTAAAGCAGGAAAAGTCCGCTTACTAAGGTCTTTTAAAACAGGAAAAGTCCGCTAACTAAGGTCTTTTAAAACAGGAAAAGTCCGCTAACTAAGGTGTATTAAAACAGGAAAAGTCCGCTAAGGTCTTTTAAGGCAGAAAATTTCGATGGCTAAGGACTGTCAGTAGGGTAGCGTTTGCCTTCCATCATTGTTTTTGAACAATCTGAATCAAATATTATATATAATTATTAATTTTATATATTTCTTAAAGATAACTCATGCTGGCGATCCTGATGGGACTGCTCTTTGTATTACCAGTCCATTACAGGTCGGATACACATCTATACCTGGAGCAATTTGTCAAGGTCAAAGTGGTGATAGAACCGCGCATGAATTCAACAGATAATGCATGTCAAATTCAAGAAAATTAAGGATAACGAATGATAGGATGTTCGGATTAGAAGCAAAATATCCCAATAACATTCTTACAGTAGTCTTTGTAAATATATATAGCTGTTTGGTTTAATACTTTGTCAATGACGTAAAATATTGTTTGCATTTTGTTTGAGCCTACCAATGCAATATACATCAAAAGAAAAAGAATAAAACACATTGAATTTGTCACAGCAGGCAATGTGTTTTTCAGCAAAGGGAAAAAGAATCTTTTTACCGTATGGAGTATTAATTCTGCGAGTTGTAATTTTCACTTTTTTTCTCACCTTTGATGTGATCGCGATTTGTTGAATTCACGGAATTGATGCCAATATATATATATATATATATATATATATATATATATATATATATATATATATATATATATATATATCTATCTATCTATCTATCTATCTATATATATATATATATATATATATATATATATATATATATATATATATATATATATATATATATATATATATATATATATATATATATATATACTCAATCAAACTACACACATGGGATTTTCCCCCGATGCAATAATCAACGAACAGGAGTTCAACACAATTTAAATGATTTTGATGATCAACGTCCCTCTTGCTATTGGATGATTAGTAGTGTAGTAACACCACACGATTTTTATATCAAGACAAAAACTGACGGACAACTCTGTATACCTGATCGATACATAGGACTCATGACAGATTGACCGGACAACAGGGGATGTTTACTCCTTCTAGACACCTGATCCCCCTCTGGGAGCCCCATTCATCAAATTAATGAGATCGATCACTGATCGTTATTTTCACCATTTCCATTTACTTACAGCTAAGTAAAGATTGAATCATATAGTGTCAAGAGACAGTTTGAATATAAATTCAGAAAAATCTGCATACCATCTTGTTTACATTTTCTCATAAAATATTTTCAGCAGCTTTTAAATTTAAGTATTCATTTGAAATAACAGGTTTTCCTAAAATTCATGTAAATGTAAATTCAGTTTCTTAATCCACTGAATTAATTTACAGCTCCATTGTCCGACATCAATACTCTCTTGTAAAGGATTTTAATAGGGATAGTTTTATTACTGAAAAAAATCATATTGATGACTTTATTAATTTCTTTGTCTGAAATAAGATGTACTAAGATTGAAAAGTAAATCCTTGTCGCCAACACAAGCCATTATCTGTGCAGAACCAGATTTGTTGTTCTACAACTCATTTCTTTCTATAGCTATAAAACTAAAAGATAACATGATCTTTGATTGTGGCATGTACTGAATGTTTTCACTGTTTCACATCCACACGATTTCATAAACTTGTTTTGGAATAAAAAAATAAAAATAATAATTTCTCATATTTGCACACGTTATTCTCATTTACAGTCCCTTAAATTAATTAACTTTGAAAGATGTCGGAGTTCCTGCAAAAAAAATTGAGAACATTAATCGTCTGTTATCAACCTTTTAAATAACACGGGTAATCATTTTGGATTTCATTTATATTAATATTTTTAAAATATGTGTATAAACAACCTTTTTTTTTTTTTTACAAAAGTCATTTGTTAAGAATTACGTTATACAACAAAAACTTTTTTTTCAATTTAGTGAGTAATCCAGGAAATTTATAAGAAATAGCAGGGAGAAAAATAAAAGTATGTACAAGCTTATCTTTTGAAAAGATGGGCGAGATAACGCTGTAGCCATCATAAAACACAGAAGTAGATATCTGAACCCTTTAAGATGCTGAATCGATTAATTATTAACAGGAAGGCACAGAAGTGCAATGAGGTGGTGTAAGGGTGTGTGTGTCTCAATTCAGAATGAATGGTGAATCTAAAAAGGGCTTCACTTCGGAAACTTTTCAACTGTGCTTTTACTGTTTAAGCATTCTGTAGTTTA